GCAGAGTCTAATCAGACAACACCTGAACACAGTTTCAACCTAGTTTTTTTATTTTTTTATTTTTTATTTTTTTTTTATAAATGTTTTCATTATATATATACACAATTTTATTATTAAAAATTATTTTTATTTGTATTATAAATAAAATATAAGTTGATATATTGTTAAAAGAATATAAATACTATAGTGATACATAATTGTTAAAGTTTATTTAAAATTAATATTAAAATTGTATATAATTATATATTAAATAAATTTATACAATTATATTTATAATGACAATTTTTATATATTACTATCTAGCATTTCTTGTAAAGTGTTTAATAATTTTTATGTGTCAATTTTGTTCAAATTAAAATGAGTTTCGATGCGCATAGTAGAGAAGAAATTAATAAAGAAAAGAAAAGAAAACAGAGAAAAGAATAAAAATAAAGTTATTTAGCAAAAAAGAAGTAAAAGAGAAATAAAAAAGTTAGAAAAATTATTTAATATAAAAATAATAAATATTTTTATTATTATTATTAATATTTTATTACCTTTTTATTATTTGATTTTTATAATTTTTAAATATTATTTTATATATAAAAAGAAAACATAATCGTTTTTGTTGCATCTGTGGCCAATTTTTCTCCAACTTCTGCTTATTTTTGCAAAGAAGTCAAAGCAAAATTACTCACATTTTTTCGCAATTCTGCACACTACCACTGCACTAAACGAGGATAAATAGTAACTTCTTCTCTTCACAATTCTTTGGTATTTCGTGCATAGTAAAAGCGTTGTATATGTTGTTTAAAAATTTGAAGTTAAGATTATTTTATATTTTCATTAAATTTTAGCAAGTTAATAATATGATTTTTTTATTATAAGATATAAGGAACCCAAGGCAAAATAAAACAATAACTACTGCTTATGAAAATAGGTTCCCAACATGAATTTAATGTTTAGATTATGAAATAATAAATAGAAATCTCTGAATGTAAAAAAAATTATTTTTATTACTTATCCAATAAATTATTAATTTTCTAAAAAGAATATTTTTATTTTTTAAAATATAGTTTGGAAGAAAATTTCTACTAATAAAACCGATCAATTAAGTTTTTTTTTAAAAAAAAAAACAAATCAGTGATTGACAAAGTTAAAGTCAATAGAAATTTTACACCAATAAAGTAATACAAAATTACTATTTTATTATAAAGATATATTCATTTTAGTTATTTAAATGAGTTAATTAATAACTGAAAGACAATTTAAATTATATACAGAAACAAAAATTGTCTTTAAATAAATTAATTAAAAGTAAATTTAAATATGTTTGTAGTTAATGTAAAATGAATAAATTTAAATTTTAGTTTACGCAAATATTGGAATCAGTTTTCTTTCTTGTAAAAAGTGTAAATTTTGATTTTGGTTCCTAATTATATATATTTTTATTTTATTCTCATCCTTTTAAAATATGAAGTCATACTATTTTTGATCTCTAATGCATATTTTAAACTAAATAAGCAACACTTGTTTTAAGAGTTTATAATTTCTTTTAGAGATATCACATATTGATATACACATATATAGTATCACAAATAATTAATTGAAGGCCCCACTTAAGATAACCATTTAGCTGTCTAGCAAACTCATAAATACTAATGGATAAAAAAACACACATAAGTAGTACTAGGTAATATGAATCACATAATTGTAAAACTAAAACAATGGTTCCACATTTTAAAGGAATAAAAAAAACAATTATAAGGACTAAAATTAAATCTTGTCCATTATAGATTAAAAACATGTTAAATTCTCAAACTTATTTTAGGGACAAAGACTAAAAAATCACTCTTTC